AACTCAAGAAAAGGCGGGTGCTGTGGGAAGATACATTTAAAATGTAGTTTCATAGAATTGGCCAAAAAATCTGGTGAGGAACAGAGCTGCTTACAGCCAAGAGTAGAGGAGCTAGAGACACAGTGGTGTCGCAGCTGCGGATGACAAAGCAGTTTATCATTGCTGAGTCGGGCCAGCAGGGTGGTGTGCAGCAGCCTGGAGCTCTCACAGGTCCTGCCCCATAGCACTCACCCTGGCTCTAAGTAATGATAAGATATCCAAGATGAAGAGCGATTCAGTCTCTGGATTAAGTCTCCTTGAAAGATTCCTATGGTCCATGCTGCCACTGGAGGCCAAGTAGGTATTCATCATCCTTGCTGATACCAGGGACCAGGTTGAGGTCTGTGTCCCATGCTGCCAATGGCTGTCATGAGCAAGGAAGCTTCTTTTACAGTGGTGTCAATGACCGCAGACTCATAATTGAGAGGAGAGATAGTGAAGGCTTCTGTGATATCTCTCCCCCACCTGCCAAATGAAAAGTCATCTTCCTGATCACTCACAGATATATGTGACCATAAGGTTGATATGTAATCATGAGATTACACCTACACATCACATGAGATTACACACTACAATGCAGGTATTTGGGAGATACCATGCTCCTTTAGCAAAAACGAGCAGCAGTTTCCAGAGTCAATGGTCCTGCAGGCCTTTCCAGGACGGAAAAACGATGTGGGATAATCTTCTGTGTGGGATTGTACTTCATCAGATATCCATTTGCCTGGTGGGTTGACATCTGGACACTAGTTATAACTTGCTGTAACTCTCATGGCCCCTGACATTTGAAGGCTTCCTGATATCTTAGTGCATGTGTTTGTGATCAGAACTAACACAGAGGGTCACCTGATGCAGTATGGGTAAACATTGCCAGAAGCACCTTGGATACATTATACACTTAATTTTGAATTACTTTTTGGGTCTTTTGTATTCAGAAACCTTTTACTCTTGCTAAATTCTTCACAGTCTATGCATTCACTTACACAGCATCATATAGGACTGTGGCACACGGTTGTGTCTAGACTGAATAAAAATATGGAGGATCTCTGTTCCCTTTAAAAATCACATGCAGTTTTTATCCTTTAAATTAACTAACTTATACATTTTTTGAGAACAGTCAAATTATTTTATACTCACAATTCCACACCACATGCAGGGAGATCTGAAAGAAGTCTAACTCCTCATCAAAGAGAGACTTCATCAAGAAAACATTCTTGATTTTCCAATTACCTGATCGATCAACACAATCAACCAGATCCAAAATAAGATCTTACTTCCTGGGAAATCATTGAGAAACAAGGGTTAAGGCATTTTAGAAGGAAGATATTCCTCCCACTATTCCTGGCATTGCAGTCAGCCCAGAAGAGTCCCCCCTTTTCCATTCAAGTTTTCTCTGGCCTTGCTGTTACTGCTCTATCTCTTCTCTGGAAAAGGGACAGCAGAAACAACTGCCAGACAGTTTGCAGCAATTGACTTGCATTATTTTTTTGTTGTTTATACCTTAATTAAATGACCTATGTACTTGATATGTTTTCTTTTACTTCTCAACCCCACTAATCCTGATATTTTTCTAAAGTAGAGTGAATCTTCATTTATGGAAAATGATGACACTTCTCAGAGTTCAGAGGTAGGGATGAAAATCCTAGGGTAGAATAGAAATTTATTTTCAGTCTCTTAATTTAATAGCAAGAGATACTCAAGTCTTTTTGTTTCTGGTGATACCATATCTTTCTCCTCTCCCTGCTCCTTTTTTTATTTCTTCTTATTCCTCCTCCTTCCCAGTGACCAGCTCATAATTCTAAACTACTGAATATTTTCAAAAACATTAGCCATGCTTGTAGCCCTGAACCCTCTCCAGTCTTGTAACAGGATAAGACACTTGCTTTCACTCTTATTTCTGATTAGACCTTGGTCTCTTAGATTTATATAGAGTGGTGTGTTAACCTTTTATCTCTAAATGTCTGGAGGCAGCTGCTTCAGCAAAGGCAGGGATTATAAAAAAGTGATATTCAGAATTGGAAATTAGACCTGTTTTGCTCTTATAGAGTTAGATCCCATCCATCTCTTATGAGAGCAGATATGGTTGAGATAAAGGGCATGAATATTGTGGTTCCAGAAGATTCTACGTCGTCCATGAATATGACTTTTTGGATCTTTGAAGATGTCATTAGGTTGAGAATACCAATATAATGATCTTAGAAATGGCATACCATAACTTCAGTGATATGTTTTATAAGAGAAGGAGAATACACATCAAACAAATGACAGAGAAGGTTTTATAAAGAAAGAGGAAGGGATTGGAGTGATGAATCTGCAAACCAAGGATTGCTAGCATAAACTCTGTGCTAGGAAAAAGCTTGGGAGAGCTGCTTCCCTAGGACTTCCAGAAAGAACCAATGTTTCTGGAATTTGACATCTCTTTTCTCACTTGAATTTGACCTACATTAGCCTCCTTGCTCATGAAAAATCCAAGAAATATAAAACTTAGACTCTTTCATATGCTTTCTTAATTGCAGTTTTAGATTATCTAGTTCCACTGGTAATACACTCATTCACCATTACTAAGAAAGCAACAAGTAAAAACCTACTGTGTCATTCATTTATTCTCATGTATAAATATGGGCAAGTGCCTGTGAGTTTGACTAGGTGAAATACGCAAGCTTAACTCAATCAACTTTTAAAAAAACCTAAGAGCTCATAGCCTAGACTTTGGAAATACCCGGTTTTGCAGCATTGTAGTGACTCTCACCTGATTTTTCAAGAGTCTCTCTGAGATAGAAAATATAACTGTTATTACCCTGGTACTTGTAAGCTTGTCATTAAATGAGTTGAGAAAAAGAAAGAATTAGTCTATTGGCATAAGAAAGATACAGGGCTTAGTTCAGTAAAGGAAATGAAGATGATTAGTGATTCATTTGACTATAAAATTAATAGTTAGACCGCCCAAAATGCTATGCAGGCTGCTAGGGAGAAAAGATAATAAACCTGTGTGTTGTACTAAGCTACCAGGCAAGATGTGCACATTGGTAATAGCAGCAAGTATGATACTGGGGTAACCAACCACTCTCTTACTGGGTTTGAGGCCTGCTCCACAGGAGGGGATTCATTTCCGGTACTGTAAACCTGGTCAAAAGCCCATGACTGGGGGGACAAAGGGGAGTGTAAGCCATAAAAAAGAACTACACCTGTTGTGTATAAATATAAATGTTTATATTTATACCAGGGATTAGTGCTGCTCCTAACCTTGGTCAGAGAAGCTTCTGTTTGCGGTGGGTAGCAGTCAGTGCACAACTGGTCATAATGCTGATGTCTGTTGACTTCTCCACTATAAATGGTGCACCTACACCATGTCCACTACGGTTCAGGAAACACTGTGAAGGGGCTTATAGGTAATTTAAGAATTGGAAGAAGGAGAGACATATAATAGAATGCTGTCCTAACACCACCACCGCAATCATGAACTCAGCAGCTGTGGTTACCTACACAGCTTATGCACAAGACTGAGCCCATCCACATTTTTTCCAGCATGGTGGAAAGGCTCACGAGGCCCTACTCATCCCAGGGTATCTATAGTCAGTAACAGTTGCTAAGGGAGATGCATTTTTCTTAAGTGATGTAGCCAAGGTAGAGAGTTGACATCCCTGTAAATAATCCCTCACATATGCTCATTATTGATCACAAAGAAAAGGAGGAGGAGGAGGACAAAGGAGAAGAACATATTTGAAAGTGGAAGGGGGAATGATTGGGACAAGAAAGGAGATCAGCAGGTGTCAAACTGGGACAAGAGAGAGTAATGCGGGTTGAAATACAAGTAAAGACTTTATGTTCATGTAGAGAAACATCAGAATGAAACCCCTAGTCATACATAGTTTATTCCAGAAATAACAACTAAAAATTGACTTTCCTCAAAGAATTATTTACCATCTCATGCTCTTATTAGGAAAAACTTTGACATTCGTTGTGAATAGTATACTTTGTACAATTTTTTTATTTGAAACTTCAGGCAAAGACTTTTCATCTTGAAAAATATTTTGAATGTGTGTTAAATAAAAAAGTGAAGTGAAAATAATCTTATAAATATATCAAAATACCCACAGTCATGGGAAGTTCTCACAGTGAAGCAGTGGCAGCTTAGCTTCGGGCGCCTTTGAAAATACAGCTATTCCTTGCCTGACCCCTAGTGTTCAGAGCAAGTAAGTGGCCGTCTGAAAATACCAAAGGAAAGAATAAGATGTTTCAAATTCAGCCTCCACTTTTGTTTCAAGGTCGGTAGGCACCCACTGACCTCATGGGCCATACTTCGGTCTCCCTTCACCGGTCTGCAGTCATTTCCACCACCTATGTTGGACGATAGCCTTTTCTTTTCAGACGTCTCCACAACTATTGCCTGTGCAACCGTCACCACCAGGCAAACGTTCCACACTCAACATGACCACCTGACCAAGGGAACAAACGCGGCTCGTCAGCTTTCTGTCGCCGTGACAAAATGTTCGAGGGAGTAAGTTTTTTAAAAGAGAGTTTGTTTTGACTTGTAAGTTTAGTGTTTTAAGTCAATCGTCGCCATTGTTCCGAGGCTATGATGGGGCAGTACGCCAAGGCAGAATGAAAATGGCAGAAAAAGCTCTCCAGCAAACAGATTCGGGAAGTGGTGAGGGTCCTACTATTGCCTTCCAGGTCCCGCTGCTGATAACTAACTTCCTTCCGTTAGGTCTCTTAAAGGTCTACCACGTGCCAATAGCACCACCGCATGTCCCAAGCGTTCATCATATGGACTTTTGAGAACATTCCTTCAGACTCAAACCAAAGCAAAAGTTACTCAAGCAAAATGCAAGCGTGGGGCAGACACAGGAACAGAATTCGATAGTTGCCACCAAACCCTGGAGTTTTCTTTCCTTCTATACTTGATGGGAACTGAATTGGCCACTGAGTAATTGGCTGGCTCCCACCACGGTGACAGAGCTTACCTTTTGGAGACAAAGCTGCTCAGAATTCAGTCTGTCTGTCGCACGAAGCTCACCATTTTCTCTGTGGATAATCTCTTAGAGTCCAAAACCCTCTGAGAGTCTGAATGGAACGTCATAAGTGACACTGGGTTAAATTTTCCTCCAGGGCTCCAAAAGCCAGGAAGAGAAAAGGACTCCGTTGCTTTTGCTTGCTTGTTTATTCAGGAATTCTTGTTGGTTTGTCCCGGCAAGATGAGCGGCATCTACTCATTAGAGTCTTTTGCTCTTTTCCCTCTCATGCTACCTGCAATGATATTATAATAAATCCCTTTTTTTGTTAGTTATGTCCAACAATCTCATCTGATACAGATATTATATCATTTCACTTGATCACCCAAACGTTAATTCTTAGAATAATTTACACAAATCAATAGGTACAGAACTCAGTCAGCATTTGCTTAGTTTTCTATGTCCAGATAACCTAGCTCTATTTCTGAACTAAAAAGAGCATCTGTGATAATTAATTTCTCTAAGTATAAGCCAAAGAATTGTGCCTCTGGTATTCTAAGATGCTTTCAATCTGACATGACCTTCTAGGTTGATTATTTAATTGGGTATCTAAATATCTAATTAGTCTCAATCTGCTCATTGAAAATATTGATCAAGCATGTAGGTGTTTATAATTAATCTCTCTTCTCTCGTGCTTCTGCCTAATAGATTTTGTGATTAAAATCTGTTTTTGCATGACAGCCTCTTGATAGTCCTCCTAATTGCAGGTCAGATAAGATCCTATTGCTGGAGATACTATACACCTTGATTGGAAGATGTAGGAAAAGCTAGCTGGAACTGAGCTAGAGGCATCTTCCCTGTTGGATAGTTTCCATAGTGCCAGAGAGTGTGATGCAGACCAATGGAGGAAAAAAGCAACACATATTTTGCCCAGCAGTAAACCATATGAACTTCAGTAGCAAAATTCTGCCAGGAACAAGGCAAAGAACTAACATAAAAATTGAATTAAAAAGAGAAAAAAAATGACATCTTCCTAACTGAATAGGACATTACTCTTCTGCATATAGGTGCAACCATGGCACAGCTGCCAAAGGGGTAGCCAGCTCCACTCTGGTTGGGTTTGGAGCTCACTCAGTAGGAGGAAATTTATGCATGATACTGGAACTAATGAATGGGGAGGTCTTAGGTCTAGGGGGAAAGTTAATTAGTATCATTGCTAAATTAACATGGCACCAAACTGCCTTTTAAATAGTTATTTTATGCCCATAGAAAATTATATTCACTAGGCTTGTGAACTATAGGCTCAATGTCCTTTGTTTAAGGCTAGAGTCCACTAATGAGTGAGTACATCCCATATTCATTTTTTCTTGGGGTCTGGGTTATCTCAGGATGGTGTTTTCTATTTCCATCCATTTGCATGCAAAATTCAAGATGTCATTGTTTTTTTACTGCTGAGTAGTACTCTAATGTGTATATATTCCACACTTTCTTTATCCATTCTTCCATTTAGGGACATCTAGGTTGTTGCCAGGTTCTGGCTATTACAAATAATGCTGCTATGAACATAGTTGAACAAATCCTTTTGTAGTATGATTGCGCATCTCTTGGGTATATTCCCAAGAGTGGTATTGCAAGCCTAGAGAAGCCAAATAACAAGGTGAACCCAAAGAAAAACATATATACATATTGGAAGCAAACAAGATCATTGGGCAAAAGTTGGGAGTATGGGGTGGAGTAGGGGTGGAGGTGGGGATGGGGGAAGGGGAGAGGGGGAAAGAGAAGGGAGAAGGGAAAGACTGGGGAGAGCTTGGGGAAGCGGGAGGGTAGAGATGGAGGAGGTGCGGATATAGGATCAGGGAAGAAGATATCTACATTAAGGGAGCCATTTTAGGGTTGGCAAGCGACTTGGCTCTAGAGAAGTTCCCAGGTGTCCACGGGGATGTCCCCAGCTAGATCCTTGGACAGCAGAGCAGAGGGTGCCTGAACTGGCCTTGCCCCTCTATCACACTGCTGATTATTTCGAATATCACCATCAAATCTTTGTCAAGCAATGGATGGAGATAAAGACAGAGACAGACCCTCATCAGAGCAACAGACTGAGCTCCCAAGGTCTAGTTGAAGAGCAGAAGGAGGGAGAGGATGACCAAGGAGGTCAGGATCGTGAAGGGTTAGTCCACCCTCTGAGACCGCGCGCCTGATCTAATGGGAGCTCCCCAAGTCCAGCTGGACTGGGACTGAATGAGAATGGGATCAAACCAACTCTCTGAATGTGGCTACCAATGGGGGCAGACTGAGAAGCCATTGATATTAGCACTGGGACCTGTTTCTACTGCATGTACTGGCTTTTTGCGACCCTAGTCTATTTGGATGCACACCTTCCTGGGCCTGAATGGAGAAGGGGGCTTGGACTTCCCACAGGGCAGGGTACCCTGCCCTCTCTTAAAGAGGAAGGGGGAGAGGAGAGTGAGTGGAGAGGCTGAAGGGGAATGGGAAGAGGGGAGGAAGTGTAAGTTTTTGAAATTACAAAGTTATTTATTTGGATAAATAAATAAATAAAAGAAAATTATATTCACCATCTTATCAGAGAAACTTCTTTCTGCAATGAGCAGTAAGAAATGCAGAGACCCATGACTGCTCAAAGTACTGAGAATAAGGGGCATTAGAGATCTCAGCCCTAAACAGAATTATCTACATCACCCCCTCTAAGGCTCAGTGAACATGTCAGAAGAGGAGGCAGAAGGAGTGTAAGAGCCAGAAGACAGAGAAGAGCTGTAAAATGCTGTCATCTGAGCTGGCCTAGCCACTGTGAACATGATCTTAAGGCAGCTTTGGTTGCCTGCACTGACCCAGGACATGACAGCCCCATGTGGAGGGGCTCATGGAGGAGCCCCACTCCACCCTGCGGAATTATTAGCTACTAATGGATTCTAAGAAAGAGGCAGAATTGTCTTCAGTTGTTACCCAGGTAAGTCCAATGGACAGCTCCAAATGCACACAGTGATTGTTAAACTCAGAGGAACATAAAACAAAACAAAGCAAAACAGAACCTACAAAACGACACTAATATGGAAATAGAATTTGTTGAGGGGTTGACAGCAATGAGGGGGAGTAGTGAAAACAGTCATAATGTTTGCTACGCATGTGTGAAATCCTCATAAACAAATTTAATAAAAATCATAAAAAGTGGTTATTTTCATAAAACTCACAGACACCTTGTAGAAATATATACATTTAAGTTTGTTTACTTCTAAGTCTGACTGTGTTTAAAACCCTGCTTGGACCAATGAAGAAAAATATTAAGAACAATCGTTTCTGAAAGCAGACCATTTTCTCATGGCTTATCGTGGATTCTAGCACCTCTGTGCTTGCCTAAAAACTAAGGATCTTCCTTCCTCCTTAGCCCTGAGGGCTTCGTGAGCCCGCCCACTTTCCACATCCGGCATTCGAACCCCCATCAATTTAGTGAGCTCCTGCAGTCGTGTTCTAGAAAAATTCTCACCATTTGCTAACATGCTGTCTCTGCTAAAGGCATTTTTCAGCTCACCTGATACAGATATTGATTTCCAACTGAGTTGTAGTTAATCCGATTTCAAAAAGGAAGGGACTTTAGAGCTAGTCATCTGTCTAAGATAAAGTACAGGACAAGAAAGGACATCATAAGGCAGATATAAAAACTAATTAAAATATTCATCTATGGCTACCCAGAAGCAATGGGTCACTGCTTTACAATGCTTGGGTCACTGATGACATGAAGAATCCAATAAACTCAAAGACCCAAAGCATCCAAACCCAAAGAGAAAAATGGAGGATAGTCATTACTATCCCAGTAAGTGCCAGGCAGCCACAGGGAAGCCCTATATTCTGAACACAGCGATGTCATTCTTATCTGAGACTGCACTGGAGTAACATAGTCAAGCAATCCAATAAGGCTGTGTTTGCTGGTATAGGAGATAGAAGGGGACTAGAACCAGGAAATTCAAAGCTGCTCTTCAATTACCACAATGGAACATTGTTCTCTTGAATGAAAAGGAAGCTGGGTACTCCAGCAGGAACTCTTCAGTCAATGAATCTGGAGTCTTCCCCACACCCCTTTTGGTACCTTGGCATCTGCAGAATAGCAGATTCTTACAACATTATGTCATTGTCCACAGCATTATCCCTAGGAACTTCACTTGACAATAGAAGAAACAAGGCTTTGCTTACTGTCTGTTAAGTTTACACATACCCTAATTAACCAGATGTAGCTAGCTTTATTGAACTCGGAGACCTTCACAGTGCATGCTGTAATTTTAAGTAATGAGCTTTCTCTCGTAGAGAGTTATCTGAACTAGTAAACACTATAGAACATATAATGTCTTCTCCCACATCCCAAATGCCCTGAATCTAGAAGCTGAGGCATGGGACAGGAATGTGCAATCTCTACCATCCAATCTCAAAGGAAGTTCCTAAGACACTTGCCTTCTATCCCAGAGGCTCCAGACGCTGCTTTTAGAGGTTACAATACTCACTCTGCTGCTCTCACTCAACATTTAGGGTCTTTTTGAAAGATTAAGAACACTTCCTTTCCCATGAATCTGCACTTTAGATGACACTTGCTGAGAATAGCATCAGCCCAAGGAGCCCAAAGAACAGTTGTGAAAAATCACTTGAAGTCCCACTCACTCATGTCTAAAATCCTGACTGCCACTGCAGGCCAGGATCCTGATGGAAGCTCTGTTGTCTCTGCACAAGCTCCCTACTGGGAGCATCTTTAGAAATGGAATAGACTTTAGTCATACATGGCCAACCTATGTGCTGTGGGCACATGCATGCCAGCATGGCTATGACTGCATCGTAGACGGTGTATTGCTGCAATGTCCAAAGATTAGAAGCTCCTGCTCCATGAATCATTTTGAAAAGATGTAAAATTAATACTTCGCCCTAATAGGGGCAGCATCAGCTTTCAAAGGAGGGCTCATTCTCGAGAAGGAAAATGAGTTCATTGAGATTTACTGTGAAAAAAATAGACAACTACATAGAGCTTCATTTTCCTAAAGTCATAAACCACAATTACAAAGTTCCTGTTTCAGCTGGCTCTGAGTCTGTCATGGGATTGATGCAAACCTGGATTCAGAGTAGTAAACAGTACTAAAGCTTTGAATGTGCCTCAACTCAGGAATCCAAAAACAGAGACAGAAGAGAGGGGCGGAGACCCACAGTGCCCTTCATAGGCATATTTCCAGTGAGGTGAAGATCAACCTCTAGGCCTCTTTGATGTTCCCCACCTCCTAAAGGCACCACTCTGAAGAACACGTGGGCTTGGGAAAGCATGTAGGATCTATGCTGTAGCAGTATATGTCTTACAGATTTACAGATTCCGCCTTCATCGCATCTAAGATTTCCCT